GTCACGAACCCGTGTCCCCTGCATCGGCAGGCGGACTCTCAACCACTGCGCCACCAGGGAAGCCCTATATCTATTACTTTTGAAAATGACAACATGTGAATATACAGGATTAAATGAAACATAAAACTAAAATGATTTTCACCAGTTTGCTTTTGCATTTTCTTTATATGCGGCTACTAGGAAATTTGAAATTACATATGTGGCTTGCGTTCTATTTCTATTGGACAGAGATGATTTAGAGAAAGCATATTTTTGGTCCAGGAGAAGCAGAGAATCATTCCTCATTCACCAAAACTTCATTGAGCAGACATTCATTAAGTACATGAAGGATAAAGGCAAAGTGCTGTGGTGGGTACTGGGAGGGGTACACATTTAACAAGACAGGTTCCAGTTCCCTCAGGGCTCGCATTGTCAAGGAACCACAAGCACCTACAAATCTCTGGTTTCCAAACAGAGCCAAAGTATGGCTCTAGTGGAGGTGAAAGCACACACGTTCAGGATATATAGGAAAAGGCAGGTAGGGACTCAGTCTCCTCAGGATGAGTCTTTAGGATATCAGTGTTGGTTCTCTAAAGAAAACCAAAATAACTAGCTTTTTAAAAATGTAATGAAAATAAGTGTATTTTCCAAAACAAAAACTTGCATTGAAAAGAGTTGCCTTATTTTATATATTTTTAAAATTTTTCTCTGATATCTAGCTTGATAAAAGGCAGCTAGAGTCTCACACCTACCTCCTCTTTTTGGATTTTGAAAACAAATTTATGGTTACCAAAGGGGAAATGTGGGCGTGGGATAAATTAGGAGTTTGGGATTAACATATACACACTACTATATATAAAATAGATAATCAACAAGGACCTACTGTACAGCACAGGGAACTCTACTCAATATTCTGTAATAGCCTATATGGGAAAAAAAATCTGATAAAGAATGGATATATCAATATGTATATGTATAACTGATTCACTTGGCTGTACACCTGAAACTAACACAACATTGTAAATCAACTATATTCCAATATAAAATAAAAAATTAAAACAAAAAAATAACTAGCTTTTAAAAGAGAGAGAGAGAACTTTAGTTTTCTCTCAGATTATTGCTTGAACATCAATATCCCAGGGCTGATAGAGCAGCTGCACCATGTCAAGGACCCAGGCACCTTCCCTCTTGTTGCTCTGCCAAGATATGGAGTCCTAATACCAAGTTCACATTCCTGCCAGTAAGACAGGTGGGAAGGAGCCAGTTCCTGGTCAAGGAGCTACATCGAGTTTCAGGAAGTCTGGGAAGAACTGCACATTTAGCTGTGTGCCCCGTTCAACCTCAGGGGTTCTATGACCACCAGAATCAGAGGAGAATGGATATTGGGGGTAGCTCGCATCCTCTGAAACAGAGGGATTATCTGAGAGGAACCTGGGCAGATGGATAGAATTTAGAGGTGGAGACGAGAGATGCTAGGCTAACAGAACAGTGTTAAGCAAGACACAACAGTGTGAAGGCCTCTGACAAGTATGAGGGATGCCTGAGCGAGACATGAAGGCAGTGTCTGGATCTGGGATGGAGAATCAGAACTCTCTGCTATGTCCTCCTCACAGCCAGAAGCACTATTTAGCTTCCCAGGTTGTGAAGAGAAGCTGGATGTTCTTATAAAAGCTCCAGAAGTGTCCTTCATGCAGAAGGGGAGCCAAGCGGAAGTTGAGGAGCCACAGAGCTCGCTGGGCCTGGGAGGTAAAGGCCCAACAGGAGCAGAGGAAGGACCTCAAGTGTGAGCACCGGCAAATCAGCCCAGCTAGGAAAAGTCTGAACAGGCATAAAGATCAAGGATTTCCTAGGTCGCTGGCTCCCTGAGCTTGGCAAAGTCAGACCCTGAATCTCCCTAATGAACCTGTCATTGACCACCTGCACAGGTATCTGTACCTCCCATGTGTTTAAGTTTATGTGACCGTCTGTCTCCTCTCACTAGGATATGATATCCATAAAGGCAAGAGTTTCATTCGCTGACTCCGGTATTTCTAGCACACAGAACATAGCAGGTACTCAACAAAAATTTGTTGGATGAATGAATGAATGTAAGTATGTATGAATAAATGAATGAATGAATGAATGTAGGTCAGCACCTACAGTAAAGCAATTTTGTAACACCCAAGAAGATATCTGAGAATGAGATGCCCTCCTGAAAACTCGCTACAAGAAGCGAGGGAGGGGACTTCCCTGGTGGCACAGTGGTTAAGAATCAGCCTGCCAATGCAGGGGACACGGGTTCGAGCCCTGGTCCAGGAAGATCCCACATGCCACGGAGCAACTATGCACGTGCACCACAACTACTGAGCCCACGTGCCAAAACTACGGAAGCCTGTGCACCTAGAGCCCGTGCTCCACAAGAGAAGCCACTGCAACGAGTAGTCTGCGCACAGCAAAGAAGAGTAGCCCCTGCTCGCCACAACTAGAGAAAGCCCACGAGCAGCAACGAAGACCCAACACAGCGAAAAATTAATTAATTAATTAATTTAAAAAGAAGCAAAGTGAGGGAGGTCATAGTAATGATAATAATTGCTGCTTGATAATTTACCATTAGCCCTTGTTCCTACTTGGTCTTCCCAACGGCCCGCTGAGAAAGGCATTCTTCCCATTGACAAATGAAAACACTGAGACTCAGCAAAACTCAGGGAGGAAGAAGCAAAGCTAGGATTCAAACTTAGGTCTTCCTTCCTTAACTGCTCTTCTTTCTACCCATTTCTTTTCTTTTCTTTTTTTTTTTTTTTTT